GGGGAGGAGAGAGGAAGGAGAGGAGAGAGAGAGAAGGAAAAGGGAAAAAGGAGAGAGAATCGAGGGAGCGAGACGAAAGAATAGCGGATAGATAGCCGCTATAGGTCGAGAACAGAGAGAAAGAGAAGCGGAAAGAAAGAGAAAGAGAGAGATAAATACACGAAGATTTGTGCGAGTCAAATATGTTAGATAAATAGATAACGTGACAAACACGAACGCGGTGTAGACCGGCACAGGTGGAGGAGTACAGATGTCTCGATACAAAACAAGTATAGATGATGACAAAAATTAGACGTGAGACAGAGACAGAAAGAGAAAGAGAGGAGGGGGATATGCGTGCGCGCCGTAACGATAGAGGGAGGGAGGAAGAGGAGAGGAGAGGAGAGGAGAGTCGAGAGACGTTTGCGCGCGGGGAGGGGAGAGGAAGTGAGGAGAGGAGAACGAGAGGGCAAGAAAATCAGATCGGCGCGGTGCAGCGCGGTGCGGCGCAGTGCCGCGACGGAAACTTTACAGCCGGAGAGACAAGATGAGTCGATCGGCTACTCGCTCGCTCGTTCGCGCGCGCGCGCGCGCGCGCGCAACGAGCACGAGGAAGGACGACACGTATGTGCGAATATACAGCGCAATCCGACCGAGAGTCGCGTATGCACACGCAAACGTGTACCCGCGTGAAATATGGCCGGCTCCTTCCCGACCTCTCCTTCCGCTCTCCACCGCGCCGAGTACGTTCGTTCGTTCGTTCGTGCTCGTGCACGCGCGTGGCACGTACCGCACACAACAATACAGTTCTTTTTCTTCTTTCACTCACTCACTCACTCTTTCTCTCTCTCTCTCTTCTCTCTCTCTCTCTCTCTCTCTCTCTCTCTCTCTCCCTTTTTTTTTGCCGTCCGCGTGTGCGCGCTCCAAGTTACAAGCGATATAGTCAAGCACCTTCTAAATTCGTTCCTGCCTCCGCGGTTGTATGAGCACGAGACCTCGTTACTGTGCTTCCTCGTGTCCGCGCGATTCTTCCTGTGTCCTTTTCGCTCGACAGGAACGGATGGCGACGGTGACGTTGACGATGACAGAGGCAGTCTCGTGCGCACGCTATTCCGTAATGACAATGATGATATACTCTTGCGCACAAATATTTTCTTTCCTCTTGTTTACCCAAAGTCAAGAAACGTGGATGGTATCGCCACGTGATGCGGAAGCCGCGAATCGGGGCCCAGTTCGAATGCGGGCAAACGCGCGAAACGCGGAGGAGGGACAGGGTGAGAGGCGATTCACTTAGGCGTCACCCCGTCCTTTCTCAATCCACATTCTTTGAAATCACGCGAAGGAATAACACAATTTGCGAGAATCTAAATAACATACGATCAAATTCACAAATCACACTAACTCGTTTGTTCAGGCTTCCAATAAATTTGAATAGAAAAAAGAACGTTTATTTGAAGTCGCTTTTTTCGCTGTTAGACACGCTTGAGAGCAATTCGTCTCGCTCTTCTCTTCTTTTTTTTTCAATTTCTCAAATAGATTTCCGGCCCAATTTAATACTTGTCTCGTTCAAAAGAAACAGAAAATTGTTCAGAACCAGAAAAAAATTCAACTTCAATTCTTTAAGTTGACATCCACCATTGGCCAGATCGGAGCGGTGGAAGGAGAATCATCGATTAAATTGCGGCGCGTCGGCCAATAGGAATGCGGCGTCATGCCGTGAATGGACATGATCTAAGTGCGACGACCAATCGCGTCTCGCTCAGCGTTCGCGAGGCAGCACCAATCGAGCGCTCTCTCTCCTCCACTCCAACGTGATCGTGTCGAGTTAGTAACAGCGGGTGACGCGACCACGAACGGACTCGACCTTCGCGAATTTCGTGACGACAGCGCGCAACCTCGGCGCGCGGTGCGATGTGATGTGGTATCTATCACGCGAGGGGAACGGCGCGGTGGCAGGGATAAAGCGCGACAACAGCACGGCGGAGAAAGCTCGTAAGAACCGCGTAGGCTGCGTTCGCTTTGTTATGATACGCGTCCGTGTTGTCGGGATCCGTGTCCCGGTCGCGTAAAAAGAGTAGCCGCATACGGGCAAGCGATCTCGATCGACGCGACCGAGATCGATGAGAAAATTGACGCGACGTACCTGTGCACCGCGGTACGATGCGATAACTTTCACCGACGGAGTACTCGACGAGGTCGTCGTCGAAGTGGCGGTGGAGGAGGCGATAGACATCGCGGTGGTGGAGGAGGAGGTGGAGGATCCGTCCGCGTGCCGCGAACACGGGGGAAAGTGTAACAGCGGCAGGGCGAGCGTGGTCGCCCCGTGGGTCGCCTGCAGTATGCTCAGGGTCTGTGACAGACGGATATTATGGCTGCAGGTGAGGCCAGCACGGCGAAGCCTCGTCAGGAGAAGCAGTACGACTACCTGCTCAAGTTCCTGCTGGTGGGTGACAGCGATGTCGGCAAACAAGAGATCTTGAGCGGTCTCGAGGACGGCGCCGCGGAATCGCCGTTTTGCAGTGGCAGTGGTACAGTTTTCCAAAGAATCCCAAATTTCTTCTTTGGTATCTTATTGATAAAATGTTGAATATATTAAATTGTAATCTTATATATATG